CTTTTCCAATTCTCAGACTGCCTAGACAAATCCCTGCAGTTTTCTTGGCAAGGTTTTGCTCAAGTGATTTGCCACACACACATATGCACACACTAACACACATTCATGCAGGCATACTGACACACATACACGAGACCTCCCATTAGTTCTTCAACCTTGGCAACTTTAAGAAGTGAAATTCAACTCCCAGAATTCCCCAGCCAGCATGCTGACTAGGGAATTCCGGGAGGTGAAATCTACAAAGCTCAATCACAGCAAGATTGACAAACACTGTTCCACTCTGTAACATTTTAAAACACATCTTATAGAATATATGCCCAGTTTATAGGAAATACCAAGATCTTGGTTGATGGTTCACAATAAAACCCATGAACCAACTGCTTAATTAAGCCCACCTTGCTGTTGTTTTTCAAATCTGTCTGTGCTCTTGGTTTAATAATACCAATGAAATTATGCACTTTTTGAATATTTGTCAAACGTACCCACCTTTAATTAGTGGGGCATAATAGCATGTGAGAGTAGCCCGTTCAATAGGCTATCTAGGCCTAACAGTGTATAGTGAAAGAGAATTTATACTGAGGTTATAACGAAGGGGTGGAGAACTATGGGCCTTTTGTGACCTGTGGACTTCAATACCCAGAAATTCCTGGGACAACATGGTCATGAGTCAGTTCCCCACCACTGTTATAAGGACAAGCAGGATAGGGCAGATCCATGAGCAGGTTCTGTGAGCACCTAGAACGGGCAACTTTATAACAAAAGCTTTAGTAAGCACATCTTACTTGCAATCACTACCTTTTCTGCCCTTTCATGCAGTCAAGTTTTACACGGTGACATTTATACTTAGCGTGGCAAGCAATGATTGTTACCTTGTTACAGTGCATCCTATCTATCCTCCCCCTCTCCCTCCTTTTAGTGCAATGCTTTATGAGAGTGAAGTGTATGACAGGAATCCCAGTAACCTGAGCCCCTGGGTCAGTAATGTATTAAAACAAAACAAGACACACATGGCTTCAGCACAGCAAGAAATCATGCAAGAATGGGAGATTTCAGACAGGCTAAGATGAAGAAGGCCTACCTAACAGCTGCAATTATAGCCCAAATTGTTTGAGTCCACCCATTTATTGCGTAGGCGGCTTGACAAATTGCCATTAATGGTACACTCACTGCAACAACAGTGAAGCCATTTAGGTTGCGACACCAACTTTTGAACTCTTGGTAGCAGTCCCCATTGAAATAAATGAGGCTTATCACAAAATACATAGATCTGGGACAATAGTACATCATATATTTGCAAAGGTAATTAGTGCTGCAGTCCTATATACACTAATGTGGGAAGAGACTGTCTTTAATTGAGCTGGATTTGTTTCTGAAAAGACACATGTAATATTTTGAGTAGATACTTTTTAAAAGGAATGGACTTACTTTAGAAATATGCAGAGTACTAAATCGTTAATCACTACTGTTAATACTTCTAACAAAGAATTTTATCAGTTGGAAATTGGTTATTTTATTTTTATTTTTATTATATGTTTATGTAATTCTTTGGGAATGCTTTCACATCATTTCTCTTTGCCACTACATCCCCCCCCCCCCCCCCCCTCCCCATTATTTTACTGTCGTGGAATGCATGTCTTATCACCCTTTATGACTTGTAGACTTCAACTCCCAGAATTCCTGAGCCAGCATCTTGAAGTCCACAAGTCCTAAAAAAGGGCCATAGTTCCCGCACCTCTTCCTTATCTTATAGAATTTCCCCCTTTTCTTTTAGCTTTCTAATGTTGAAGATGAACATTTCGTAGCACTTCAAAACCCTCAAGTACTATTATACCACCTTTCCCTCTGGGTTGCTATTAAATACTAGGCCTAATATCTGGTCATTTTCAATCATTTTGGATAGTGTGTGTAAGTTGGTGACTGGAAATATTGTTTTCTATATGGTTATAAAGATACAAAATGAATTTAGGCTGAAATCCTTTTCAGACTTTTCTGACAGTCTCATTAAACTCACTGAAACTTATTACAGAATTGACATATAGTGGAGTATGCTGTACAATGATATTTATTGATTTTTAAATGCTACTCCAAAATCTGCCATCTCCATCTGAAACTTAACTACCTACTGCTAGAAACAGCTCTAGATATTGGTGATATACTATTTCATTTCGTCTCCTGCCCCTTTCATGTAAATAGGTATTAATGCTTTTTTGTTCTTTTCCATCTTCTTCCTTGATTCTTTGGCTTTAAGGTGAGCCCTGGCTTGGGTCAATGCAAGGATATGACCGAAAAATCCAAAATATTTCTAAACAAATTCTGGACAAAACAACAGTTCTTTGTTTTTCCTCATGGAAATAACATAAGCAAGTTCCTGCAACTCATTTTGTTATCATACATAGTTAAAATCTATTCAAAAGTGCTCAGGCTAGAATATTATTTAGTGGTAAAGAATGCCAATTTTCATAGAAGGTAGGCTGCTTTAAATGATGACACTGTATTTAGGCTATTTAAAGGCAGAATATAAAGCAGTTCCAATAGACCCTGTTGAAAATCTGTGTCCACCTTCAGGCAAATGTAAAGGGAAATGTAGGAGCAAGCAATAATCATCTCATTGTCAGGGTTCAAGAGAGAAGATATAACACTGATTTATCTTTTCTTTAAAATAAAATATACCCCTTAAATCTAGGGAAGTTACCAAGAAATAGTACAATGCCTTGGATGGTTGATAAGAAAAAATGATTAACTAAAGGAAATTTCTTTAAAACCTTAATTTAGTTAATTTCAACCCTATCTTTCTATCCACAATTAAGACTGTTTATGGCTATTATAAATACAAAATTGTAAACCATAAATTAAAGAAGGAAAAATTAAAATCAATAGCAATAAAATCAAAATCAGTTCAATTATTGTAAGAGAGCTAGCATAGCATAACATTAACATGTTGGACAAGATCTGACAAATCCAGACTTCAGTTTACCCTCAACCATGGAAACTCTCTGGTTATTAATCTACTTGACAGGGATGTTGTAGTAGGAAAAAATTGGAAGAAGAATCTATATACTTTCTAAATACTTTCCTGAGCTCCTGAAGAACATGCAGGACATAAAACAAAAAACAAACAAACAAACAAATAAAGAAAGAACTTACTGGGAGGGAGGGATTTTCAATATTTTATAAATCTGCACTGGAAGCTTATTCCATAACTTAACGCTGCTTGCATACATATAGATATCATGCAATCTCATATCTTTAACTGACAGGAGTATAACTCACATTTTGCATCAATTGCAATTTACAAACACTTTTCAAGGACAGCTGCTTGTGTAGCAATCAAGATAGGAATTAATAATTAGAAATTCCAACTGGTCAAGAAGGATTACAGTTGGAGCATCAGCCATAATTGAAAAACATGCTTCTGGACAGACCATCATCTGTAAGTTCAGTTGAAATACTGCAATCCTACTGTTTATCAGGAATGCAATCTCAACCAAAAGTAGACTTCACCTCAACCCCTGAGTTCATCTTTCTTCTTACAATTTCCATCTTTTCTAGATTTAATCTCATTGTCGTCCTTCAACTAGCCCACTATCAAATTTAAGCTTCTCTTTCTTGTTACTATTTCCATCTTTTTAGTTTTAATTTCAACTTGTTGTTCTTCAACTAGCCCATTATCAAATTTAAGCAATGTGTAGTAGCATGTATAAATGACCTTGGGCAAAGAGGGGAAGTGATACTGTCTAGGAAATAATCAGACAAAAGAGGCAGGGGCCTGCAGTTGCTTAACGGTCAGAGAAAGAAACTTAGGTAGAATCTCCCCTAATGGATGAAATAGTAAAAGGCGAAGTGAAAGGTTTGTGCCTTCAGAGTTGCAAGGCTCTGCTAGCGTAGCCTTACAATAAAGCAAAATTAGTTTATCTTGTCATGTTTCCCGTCTGGTTTACCTATAAGGGCTGACACAACATTCAAGCATGCTGATTTCTTCTCTAGAATTAAACAGTAAGGACCAATATTACTCATTGTCCTCAGCATTTGGATGGCATTCCATTTCAAAGCTTTGAATTATTTTTATCCAGTGGTTCAACACAGAGATTTAAATAGTATAGGAGTGAAGATAGAGTCCAATGGGATATCACAGGTCAACATCTTTCTGTCAGCCATTTGTTCCCTGAACACTACTTTTCAGACTATAAAGAACTAGAACCATTGAAACCTATGGCTACAAGACTTGACCCTTCCAAAAAGCCTAGAGGATTCCATAGTAGATGTTACTGAAAGCTAAAGAGAGATCCAGTAGAATTAGAAGGATCTCACTCCCCATTTTTAGTTTGTAGCATAGGTAATTCTCTTCATTAATTCCCTAAGATACAATGACTGGACAAAAGATTTTAGCTGTAGAGATTATTTTGTAGACTTTTTATTTTAATGACAGCAGACTCTAGTTTTGGATTTTTAATTTGATGGTAGGAGTATATGTTACAATTCTTTAATTAATAAAGATGAATATTTGTAGCTCAGGGTTGAAAGGAGCTATCCTTTATGCTCTCCGAATTTCAAAAAAAAAAAACCAACCAAGCTCAGACAGCACCAATGACCCCACCAATTCTTTAACTCTATATCAGACATGAAACTTTGTATAGACGTTGAACTGCCAACCCAGAAATTAAAACTAAACCATCTTGAATTATTTGAGGGGACCACCTCTTACCAATTACATCTACCTATCATGTCAAGGAGCTTTGTTTGGCAGGATCTAGGAAAAGAGCCTTTTCTGCTGTGGTGGTACCTGCCCTTTGAAATAGGATTCCTCCCAAGGTAAGATTGACTCCAATTTTCTTGACCTTCCAGAAGACCCTCAAAACCTGGTTTTGCCATTGGGCTTGGAGATCCCATAAAAGGGTGGAATATTTTAATTGGTTACACTATGTATAAGGATAGATAACACTTTGTCCTATCTTGTTATTATGATTTAAATTGGTTTCAGTGGTTGAATTGGTTCCGGTGGTATTCAGTCAGTTCACACCGGATCGGGCAAACCGATAGCAAGAATTTGGCATGGGTCGCTGAACTGGTAGTAAGTTCTGGCTGGCCATGCCCCCGATCCGGTTGCCCTCCTGCCCGATACTTGCTTACCTGCCCGCCTGACATTCACCTAAGGTATTTCTTCCCCCCCTCCTGACAATCAGCTGTGCATAGATCAGCTATGCTGGAATTCCCTTTGCTGTTGAGCCCCCCTCCATTTTTTGTCTTCCAGAGCCCCAGAGGAGCCTTAGGAGAGCAAAAACATCCTCCCAGAGGCTCCTCTGAGGCTAGGAAGTTTTTTTTCTTCCTGAGCCTTAGAGGAGCTCTAGGGGAGCTCTAGGGGAGCAAAAACTACCCCCCCCCCAAAGGCTCTTCTGAGTCTAGGAAACTCCCAAAAATGGGTTGGGGTGGCAAAAAAGAAAAAAAAGTCACACCCACCCAGTCATGTGGCCACGCCCACCAAGAACTGGTAGTAAAAAATTTTGAATCCCACCACTAGTTGAATTGTGTGATTGCTTCTGTTTTAATCATGTATGCTACTTCAAGTCACATCAAATAAAATATATATTCAATAAATAAATAAAATCACATTGAACTGTTCCCATTTGCTCAGGGCTCAGGATATGGATTGAGTTGGTATTGCAGTTCTAGGGTGTGCTCACATGCTCTATAACATTTGCAGAACTATGGATATTTAACTGCAAATGAGAAGTGCAGAAAACATAAAGCCCCATTATTTCACTTTATTGTTAATTAACTAATCACATCAGCTTTTGTTTATATTTATTTATTTTGTGGATGTGTTATTATTTTAATTTTTTAAAATTGTTTTAATTGTTTCATAATTTTAGAACTGTAAGCTACCCAGAGTCACTTGGTTGAGTTGGGCAGTTACAGAAATTAATTAATTCATCCGAATCTTAAGATAAAGGAAAAAAAGCAGATCCATCTGTTTATGATCAAGAATATTTCCTTTTCTGTACAGAAGGCAGCCTATTTGTCAAATGTTAACAGAGTTCAAGATCTGATCCAGAAAAACAATGGTAATAATTGTTGCAAAGAAAATATTATAAAGTATTATTTACAATTATTATATCATCAGCCTTAGATTTCTTTGTAGGATATCATTAAACAGAAAAGAAACAATAATTGTAAAGACAATTCTTCAAAAGGACAAATAATAAGCATACATTTCTTACTTATACTAAAACACAGTCTTTTACTATACAGTGTTTTTTGAAATGTTCACAATTATTCTATTAAATAAAAGCCAGTTCTTTAATTTATTTGGAAGAAGTGTATGTTCTGGTAATTCTTCCATTTCTGTTCTCTCCCAAATATATATTTAGTATCCTCTAAGATATATATAGTTGAATTGAAAGAGAGCTGTTCTTGGCAGTAATAAATAAATAAATAAAGTTTTAAATTTAAAACTGAAATGGCTGTGAAAGTCTGACTCACAGATGAACACAATACAGAAGCCTGATGATGGCAGATGAGATTCTGCCGAAACGTTGCTACAACTTTAAAAGCACAACTACAATGATGTGGGAAAATACCCGAACAAAGCTGAATGCCATACATGTAATTACCCGCAAAAACTTAAGAATATATATATATATATATATCTTTACTTTCTTCTATCATTTGTTGTTGGGGAAAAAAATTGGAATCTTTTATAAACTTGATTTCAACATAATCTAATAGAAAACATAAAATGTAACTTCTCAATATATTAACCTGGGCCTTTAAAAAATAATATCAGCATGTCCACAATACAAGATTTTTACAACATAATTTACATATGGTGTGAATGTATATATAAAATATTTTGGATAGAATTGTTCTTAATGGAATAGATGGTAACAGGAAAAAGAGTGGAAAATAAAAGCAGCTTTAGTCAGAATCTAAGCAATTTGGTGCCAAATACAAGTAGCATTTCCCCAGATTATAATTTACACTGTATTAACTGTCAACAGTACTTTTGAGAAATGTAGATAACAATTCAGATGCAATCGATAGGTAGTGACAGTTGATTTTAAAGCTTAATGCAAGACAAGGAAGAAATGACTGGTATATCAGGCCTGGAAGAATAAATTTATTTTGTATTTGATTTTTGTGTTAAATTTATTACTGCCAAGAACAGCTCTCTTTCAATAATATGAAGAACAAGATTGTGAAATTGCAACATGTTTGTCTCTACAGTTTTCACTGCATATCCAATATAAACTGATGATCCTTTTCAGTACTATAAATAGATCAAGTTAAGTTCTTATATATTATTTTTCCATAAATGCTTCTTAAAGAATAGTGTAGTTTCTCAAAATTAAAAAAATAAAAGTCTTCAACCACAATTTAACCTCATTTAAAAACTACTAGGATTAATTCTATATGTTCATTTTCTGAAAGTCAGGAATTGTTCAGAATATTTATTTTGTGAAACATCCTATAGATTTTTATGTCTATATAATTTCTGAGCCATCCAATCACCAAGACAACAATAAAGCAGAAATTCAGACATATGATTGAGCAGGGTTGATGTAGCTTTGTCACAGTCAATAGAATCCTTTTTTCAATTCTGTCAAAATGTCTGGAGTATATAATGTTAGATTTTGATGTTGCTTCTGTACAATGCCACAAAAAGTTACTTGACAAATACAAGAGACAAAATTTCCCTTCTAGCCCAACTCTATTACTCTTCTTATTCTATCACCGAAGCTGAAGATGCTTCTCAGCAGAACTGTACATTCAAAAATCTACCAGCATGGTCAAAATGAAATGATGAAGCTTGCCACTGTTCAAACTTATCTATTCTTCTCACTTATGACATGATTGATTTTCCTTCAGAATGCTCAAATATAGGATTGTCTTCCTTTTTTTTTTCACTGTGGTAACAGCTAATGTATACAGCCTTGGCATGTCTGGGAATGGTAAGAAGTTGACATGTAGAAGAACAAGTGAAATGAATACGGATGAAATTTGAAAGTGCAATTTTCTGTCTGCCAATCACGTTTTACGGCACAAGTTAAGTACCAATCAGGAAAGTCCTTCATGAGATCATACTCAAGTAGGAGTTTCTATCTGATAGGCCAGCCACCCTCATTAATCAAGCTTTTAGATTTTGATTCAAGTCTTTATCTGATGCCCTGCTTTTTCCATTGCAGTGGAAAATTGTATTGCATTTTCTCAACATGTTATTGAGAATTTATATTCTGAATTAAAATATATAGCTTCCTTTTAAATAGAATTTGATTAGGTGACTACAAAATCTATTTCCCTTGTTATGGTACATAGCAGATCATTTCCTAGAGCCTGGCTCCGAAGAAAATGTGCGGTATTTCTAGCATTAATAATGTATGGTCACCAAAACCTGTTCTGGCCATAGCTTCAAGATGCCTCGAAATACAGCCAATTAAGGTTTATTTAATTATTAAGGTTGAATAAATAACAGCGAAACATGTTAAAAATCTTTCAGTTTCAGTCAATCATAATAAAAAATTAATGAGACTGGATAGAGAGCCATAAAAACTGATAGACTGCAATCGTGAATTATAAATTGGTATTGATTTTTTCCTTTGCAATAACACTCTCAGGTAATCGTATGTTGCCACATGTAAAGTGCACTTTCCTAGTTCAGGCTAATATTAACTATCAAATATATATGAGATGGAGGCATTTATGACACTTCAGATTTCACAAACAAAAAGCAAAAATACAATTTGTGGAATAATAGCAGCATAGAACACAGAATCCTAGGGTGTTTATGGGAGCAGAAAGGGATCCCACTGTGCCATGAATTCATAAGGCACAGTTACCGTATCCTTCTCCTGCCATTTCTTCTCTGATATGTTGCCTTGTTAGTATCACTGAGAAAAACATAAATATTTTTTATTATTTGTGAGGCTCATCCTGTCTTGCTTAATAGACAGGCCACATGGAGTTAAAGTCATATTATATGGCCTGGTGCAGAAGTGATCATTCAGAAAACCAAAGCACATATTTTATCCTGCCTAGGTTTATTAATTCTAAGCCCCAAAGAAATAGTGAAAGGATTTTCCAGTGTTCTTTTTATCGAAGTAACATGGAAACAAATAAGACATTTCCCTAAGCTGGCTCAGATAAAGCGGACAATTACTATTGGCATTCTACATGTAAATATTTAACACTTCACAGCTAGTTTGCACCTAAATGTCCATTAGATGTTAGTACAAGCCTAGACGCTATTTCCCCATAGAGCTACACAGGCCTTCCTCTTCAATGTTTATTGGATTAGGGCTAACACACATCTTGTTTTAAGTAGCATTGAAAAGAAATTTGGCATAAGCAAGAGAATGTCTCATTTGACAAAATATTGTATCTGATATAAACGGGGTGAAAAACCCACATAAAGGGAAAATTCAGAAACAGAATTCTTCTTTATCTGGATAACCAATATACTTTTACCAGTTCATTAACTATAGTGATCAAATTTACACACTGAGGAAATGGGGCTGTACTAAGTATTGTAAAATATTATCATTTTAACATTGCTTCTTTCACGTTTCCGAAAACAGGGGTATTTAAATTGTAAAGGCTCATTTAATTTACATTAATGGTATATGTGGTCTGAATTTGTTTTAACTTTTACAAACAAGGCTGATGGTTAGAGTATGCATGTCAAGTATATATATTTTATTGATTTGCCACATAGTTGCTTCATATACTAGAACAACAATTGTGCAATTATTCAGAATAAATGGGTGGAAACTGTAGCATGTCATAAATAAATAAAACTATTATATGCTTTCATGATATATTGTAATTAACAGGACATTATCAGTGGCTTTGTCCATTGTCAGAAAAATACGGTTAAGTGGATATAATTTACATAGTTCTTCTGATTGCATACAGAGGAAGTTTGTCTAAAGTAAAAATGCAAAGAATAACATTATTATTGACTTCCAGCCAAAATCTAGTCAGTCACGTCCACAGACAGAAGAAGCATCTCGATGAGCTTTGTCAATGGAAATACATCCCAAATCTCTTCCCCACAACTGCATTTGGCTTAGACGGAAGTTAAGAATTATTTTCACGGTGATAGTAACATAGTAACATAGCTTTCACAGAAAAATGTAGAGAGCTTATCCCTATTTTACAAATTATATATTTTTGGAACATAAAACATGTGTTGTATTTTTTCTCATTTATCCCAAAAAAATATTTGTTGAAGACCTATACTGTGCATATCTAAAATGAAAATATAGGACCTAGCTATTTTTTATGACTGCAAGTTTCAGACTAACAGCAAGCTACTAAAGAAAATGTCTAATAATTCTCATGTTGACAAGATTTTATTTAATATAGTATATTTACCTGAAAGAAAGACTGACTTCTCCTATAATTTACCTTTGAAATGGAAGAGTTGTTTCAGTTTATCACATAACATGGCACTGAAGGCAGAGGACTTTGTTCTACATATTAAAGGGGTAAGAGTATCTTAAAATAATGATTGTCTTTATTTTGAGTGAATATAATGTATATGAAATCATGAAATAGTTTTATAATCCCTTCTTTCTTCCTAGAAATATTCAGAAGAAGCACAAATCTCACAAATTAAACAATTGTGAGTGCATACCTGTATAACCAGAGGCTTACCCATACTGCTAAAATCTGACATTTTATTTTAATATGGTAATTACAGCTTTTTTATTATATACACAGCACATGTTTTGATGTATGTGCTCACTACTTAAACTCACACAAAGATACTGCCGTTCCAGACAAATCATGTCTATTATTTTTTATTCCCTGGTATGAAAAAAAAAATCCTTGCATAAGTGAAAAACCTAAATAAGCCCTGTCTGATCACAATGACTCAATAGGAAATCACCTAATAGCTAAAGTGGAATCAGAATTCTGTCCTACATCTTATTCTCTCTTTTGATATGGCTATAATATGGCTGATAATTATATGAGTAACCAAATGTCACTGGAGAGTATGCCAATATTAAAGACATTTAATTTTCCTCCATTATATTTCCTGTTTCAACAACATCACTTTTGTTTATCATGAGCTCATTTACCCAGAGACCACATGGAATCTGAATGATGCATTCCTTGTGGATCAGCTATGATATGAATGTCTTGCTGATTCTGAAGAAGCATCTCTGAGATTACAATAGCTTTCCGTTGCAGCTATCCACATGGTGCTGTCCAGCTAAATTGTTTGCTAGGGAGGACTTACGAGTACAATAATATTACCAGCCCCCTAGCAGGCACTTTGTCAGTATACTTAATATGTCTAAAAAAATCTCAAACTGTTGCTGTTGCTTGGTTTGTATCCATCTTCTAGCACTTTGCACAAATGTCTGCGGAGTACCCCAGCTCCAAACCCCTTCACTCTCAGTACTGACCTTTGTGCTCTGGAAACAATTACTCCTGGAAAGCCTGTCAATATCATTATTTTTACAAGAAATCAATACGCCTCACAAAGTTAATGGGGGATTCAGGCAGCAAGCGTTTACCTTCTTACTGTCAGTGGTGCAACGGGCTGTGCTCTGGCACAGATGACAGATTCGCCTAGACACTGAGCAGACAATAAGCAATGGATGTAAAGGAGAAATAGGCTGCAAGCAGGCGTGGAAAACGTCAGCTTCTGCAGGCATCTAAGCTCTAACGAGCCAAAGATGTCAATGTCTTGTAGTGTCCACTCTGGAACAACTAAGGAATAGAGAAAGCTAGCATAACAGCATTAGGAGAATGTCCCAGCTCTTGCAAATCTAAATAATATGTAACACGCAAGAAGAAGCTAAAACTATCTCCATATTCCAGTTAAGAAGCTCTTTGATGAGAGTCAAGACCCCCTAGATCAGGCCTGTCAAACTGGTGGCCCTTGGGCCAGATAATCTCCACAAAGGCAAAAAACTGGCGGCCTGCACGCCCACCGCAGCTCTGCAAAGGCCAAAAAACATCACGATATATCACTATACAACCCAAGATGCAATTGGGTTTGATATCCCTGCCCTAGATGTAAAGAGACCAAGGAGAAGAATACTAAGATGTTACACAGGTAGCCATTGGCTGTCAGGAAAGTTGAATTTCCTTTTCTCTGCCTAAATTCTTGCTATATTCATAGGTGTGGTTTGAATTCAGAGCATCCCACGTAATTACTGTAATTTCATTGCCTACAAAACTTGTAAAGTCTAGAAACTATAACATTTAAGAACCCAAAGTTATTATACCAGGGTTGTAAAGTGAATGGCTATAGACTACATGCATTGCAATGCTACATTTGAGAAAGTCTTGGCATTTTTATACATTCTGCTCATTTCAGTACATTCTGATACCACTTATTATTATACTACAATATTGTAGTGACCAACTGAAAAGCTCTTACCTTAAGGAAAATATTATTTAACATTTAACTAACGAAAATATTGCACTGTGGTTGCGTGTTGCATGCCTTATTATACAATCAAGCTATTTTTTTAAAGGGAATAGCAAAAGAAATTTGAATTATTCTAAATGTTGCCTATGTTGAGATTATTATTTCCATGTTCTGTTTTTTCTTTCTCCAAATGCAGTAGATGACTTCAACACATGATGGGGTTAAAATATTTTTTAAACCTCCTTCACTTCTATCAACAGTTTGGAATTTACACTAGGGCCTTACATCATTACCCTAGTCTTCACAGCTTTTTAAGACCTTAATGCAAACCACATGTAGAAACTGGGGCTGCTTACAAAGCCTTGTAAACAGCTGTTTTCTGATTGGCTACTGAAGGATGGGAAATGGAAGGTCTCTGAGGGAAAAAATAACAAACATATCTCTTGTCTACAAAGCAGAACTCTAAACATTTTTCATGCATTGTGGGCTCCTCTAGAAGCCGCAAGCTGTTTAAAAAAAAATACCTTGTCCAAATTGAGCATTTGTTTGACATGATGGAAAAGTGAGTTCAGCTTTCTGTTATATTGCCACTATTCTACATTGAGAAGATACATTCTCTTTCTCTCTCTAATTCTCTCTCTCTCTCTCTCTCTCTCTCTCTCTCTCTCTCTCTCTCTCTCTCTCTTTCTCTCTCTCTCTCACACACACACATATGTACACATTCTGAGTTATATTGCACTATTCTACATTATTACACACACACACACGTCTATCTATCTATCTATCTATCTATCTATCTATCTATCTATCTATCTATCTATCTATCTATCTATCTATCCATCCATCCATATATATATGTGCTGTCCCAACAGATTTCACAGTAGTGAACTCCATTTATGAATTATCTGACACATTTCTTGCAATTCTTCTGACAACGGTGCTCAGTGGAAATTTCAAGGTCCCTCTCTTCTGACAAGTAGAAATATCAATATTTGAATAAATTGTGGATTTTAAACTTCTCACTCTGATGCACCACAGCAAGGAAGACTGAATTTTTCTTTTACTGGGCCTAATCCCCTTGAGCCTAAAAGGAGAAATCTGTATGCAGCATTTCATTACAAGAAAGCTGTACTGAGTGACATTTGAAGCACACATCTAAGTCGACCTGATGAAGTTTACTTCCTTCAAACAACAAATAGCAGCTTTGTATTATTTCCCATTCTTGGGGGGAAAAAAGGCAAAAGCATGATGTCTGAGCAAAAAGCCGAAATGTTGATTCACAAATTGACAGGCCAATCTTTAAACAAATGTGTTTCTTGGGGGAAAAAATGCAACGTTGTTCAAGCTGAGCATTTTTCTTGTGCCTGACAGAAACATTCCCGGGCTGATTAGAAAGAACTTCTTAGGGTTCTCTCACAGACACTCTGACTCCACTTTTTAACAAGCATGCAAAGAAAACAACATAAAGATAACAAAACATTGGGTACCATCTATGGGATCTATTTGTGCTTTTTTGTTTTAATTTAACACTTACTCTCACTGGCTCCCCCCCTTTCGTCACACGCACAGCAGGACTACTTCAACCACTTAATGGTAGTCACTGCCTTACACATTAAATTACATCATGCCGTTAAACCTGTTCCATATTAAGCCCCAGTGTTCACTGACAACACTACCCAACAGTTAAGTCAGACAAAATTGTTTCAGTGAATGGTGGGTCTTTTTCTTTCTTTCTTTTGTTTTAGCAAAACTTGGTAAACGATACAGTGGTTCCATGATGTTGAAATGAAATTGTGTGTGCACACAATTGTTTTTAGCTCAGATGGTATACCACTTAAATTACTTGGACAAGCTCCGTCAGTAGTTATGAACATAAAGTTGTGTTTCCTAGAAAGAGGTTTATTTTAATGCAGCTGTTTTTATTTTGTTTGCCAGTCAGAATTTCTGGAATTGATGGGTGGACATATAAACTGGATTATTAGGTCAATAAATAAATAACATGCCTAGCAGCACATAGAAGGGCTTGAAAGAACTCGTTCAAGATAACAAAAACAATGGAAATGTCCTAATGGTGCTTTCTCAAGAGGCAACTGGACTTTTCAGTTTTTCTTTGAAGACGTTTTGCTTCTCATCCAAGAAGCTTCTTCAGCTCTTCACTTTAAGGAGTCCTCTACTTACAACGGTTTTTTTTTTAACTGTTCAAAGTCACACTGAAAAAAGTGACTTATGACTGTTTTTCACATTTACAATTTCATATGTCCAGTACCCCCATGGTCATATGATTAAAATTCAGATGCTTGGCAACCAGTTCATATTTAGTGCCAAGGTCATGTAATCAATTTTGCTACCTTCTGACAAGCAAAGTCAATGGGAAAGCCAGATTCACTTAACAACTGGGTTACTAACTTAATAACTGTGTGATTTGCTTAACAACTGCAGCAAGAAAGGCCATTAAATGGGGCAAAATTCACATAACTGCATCACTTACCAACAGAAAATTTGGGCTCAATTCAGGGGTGGGATTCTACCAGTTTGCACCTATTCTCTAGAACCAGCTGTTAACATTCTAAGCAGTTCAGAGAACCGGTTGTTAGAAGAAATTACTGGCCTAATCCTGTAAGGAAGGCAGGAAGGAAACATTCTGGCATTGCTTACAGAAACTGCCTCTCCATTAACCCTTGTTACATTCTTGGCAGGACTAGACTTCCTGTCTCAGAAACATCTCTGGAGTTTTTTCCCCTTCCTTTGCTGGTACTTTGCTTGTGTGGAGTAGCCATTCAAAGTTACAATGGCACTGAAAAAAGTGACTTATGACCCTTTTTCACACATATGACTGTTGCAGCATCCCCACAGTCATGAGAGGCCAGGCAAGGAGATGCATGCCTCAATGTGAGTGATATTGAGTTGGCCATGCCCAGCCAATAATATGACCACCAAGCCACGCCCACCAATTAAGCCACACCCACAAAACCGGTTGTTAAAAAATTTGAATCCCACCCCTGGCTCAATTGTGGTCATAAATCAAGGACTACCTGTATTTGCCTCACAAATTTTAATCCCAATACTTCTGTTATATCAAACAATAAATTAATTTTCTGCTAGCACTAAAAACAGAATAAATATATTCAGATCAGGCAGTTCGGTAACTACATTCACATCAGCTAGTGGCAAAAAGTGTTCTTCAGATAAAACATCACGAAGTTTTTCTTTAATATTTTGACATGTCTATTATGTTTACGTTTCCAGGATAATTACCAGCCATTTATTTGAATATTGCAAAGGTTGCCAATTAGTTTTAAAGGAAAAAAAGTGAATAAAAAACAAAACATCTTGTAGCGTTTTCAATGAAACTTTTTCTGCAAAAGTAAACTATTATTGGTTTGTTGTGAATCACGCATAGTTTTTGAGAGTCTGGAGACCTAAACCTTTAGTAAATTGTTATTGTTATTGATACTATTGGGTACATTTTGAAATGTATATAGACTTTTACATGCAGCTTAGAAAAATTAAAAGGACAAAGAGAATAAATTCTGTGACTCAAACTTTCTAAATAGCAATAGTGGGTACAACTGCAAGGCCTAGGTTCAAATTGGCGAAAGAGAAATGCCAGGAGAACTACTGATTTATCACTGCTTGTGTGTTCTGAAAGTGTTCCTCTTTCACTGAACAATAAAATAATGCCTTTCTTTAGAGAAAAAAATTACATATTGACAATAGGTTAAATCATGTGTTGATAGCCACACCCTTTTTTCTAAGGAGGAACTATTTTTTCATGATAGGGAAAATGTTAAATCTCTAGGAAACTGTGTTAGGACATTTTACATACAGCATGAACAATTGGCACTAAAATTATTGTGGGAATTGAATTACAAAAAGGGAATGACTTAGCTTTTTTATTTAGAGGCAATATATGTCCAAATGCAATTTATTAAAATTATCACTGAAGTACATTATGCTCCTAAGTAAAGTTACAGATTTACCCTTCATATCTACCGAGATACAATATATTCTTCTTCCTAAATTACAAAATGTTTAAAAAGCACTCTGTCCTATAACATATTTTATGCTAACGATCCCCATGGCATTTTTCAGATTGTCAGAAACATGCACACAGAGATAAACAATAAAATAACAGAGTTGATAGGTTAAACCAGGGGTGACTTGGATGACTGAGAATCTGTGTAGACATCGTCAGCCATTATACCTTCTAAAAAGTACATTTCAGTCTTGCCTATAAGATGATATTTAGAAAAGACTAATAACAAATACTTAAGAAAAATGTTTTCAAAACAAATTTAATTGCTTTCTAGATTTCATGATTTTCAAAATCAGGACCATCTTTACATATATTTAACAGTTTTTCATGGATGACTTTGAGTCAGTCACTATCTATTAATCCAACCCACTTGACAACCCACTTATTATTTTGGGGATAATAGGACGGAATATTATGTATGCTCGCCGCCTTGTGTTACTTACAAATAAATGTTGGATAAAAATCTAATAAATAAATATACTACCACTTTGGTAAATCCC